TTCACAAAATATTTTATCGTAAAATTTATCTTCCTCAAAGTTTTCTATCGTTTAAATGGTCCCTTTACAAAATATTGATCGTTAAAACGGACCTTTCACAAAATATTTTTTCTTAAAATTGGTCCACTCACAAAATATTATAATCTAGCGCATTCCTAACACTAGATTGCCCAATGAAGTCCTTTTGACTACTTTTTAATTCCAATTAGAAAAACAATGATGTATATAATGACGCAATTTCTGAGAATTTTGTGACTTTTTGTGCAACATACAATTTTTTTTTTATTGTTAATATTTACTAATAACTTGTTATATAACTGTAAATAATATAAAAAATATTAAAAACTAATTTTAAACAAATTTCTTTACACATTAGTTATTCTTTCACAATCCAGCCATTTTGACTGCTTTTGGGCAATATAGGTATATACTAAGTTTTAGTCTTTTTCTAGTGTTAACAATACTTTAAATTTTTTTAATGGGCTTTTCACAAAATTTTTCATTTGAAAAACAGAGAATCTGAAAAAATATTTTATTATAAAAACGTATTGTTAACAATCCTTTACACTTCTAATTGGCATTACATAACATATTTTATCATAAAAACGTATTCTTAACAATATTTTACTTTTTTAGTGGGCTTTTCACAAAATATTTTATCATAAAAACGTATTCTTAACAATATTTTACATTTTTCAATGAGCTTTTCACAAACCATTTTATTTTAAAAATGCATTGTTAACAATGTTTTACATCCTTTTTTTAATGGGCTTTTCACAAATTTTTTCTTTTGAAAAGCGGAGAACCTTCACAAAATATTTTATCTTAACAATATTTTAATTATTTTTAATAACCTTTTCACAAAATTCTTTTGAAAAACGGAAGTCGAAGAAGCCTTTAAATTTTTATTTTTGGAACTATAAATCCTTGAGCATGCTCCTTTTTTTTTTTTTTACAGTTTTTTTTAAAACATAAAAAGGGCCCTATTTTTCGACATTTATAAAAAAGAGATCTGGTTGTGAAGACCGTTTTTTCGGTAATATTAAATTCACACAACATTTTTCACATATTTACAAAAACTGAGCCGTGATGGCTCAGGGGATAGAGCGTTCACCTTCTTCCAATGACGCGAACCGGGTTCGAATCCCATTCTACTCGAATTCCGCATCCAGCTTGCACCGACCACAGTGCTGACGTGAAATATGCTCAGTGGTAGACGGATCATCGGTTAGGGCTCCGTTGAAGTCAAGCTAACCGTGGGAGGTACTCGTGATCTTCCTCTCCATATAACGCAAATGCGAGTTAGTTTCATCAAAAAGTTCTCCACGAAGGCAAATTTCTTCCAACACTTGATCAAGGAGTTCCCTTGTCTTCTGTATTGGGTTCAAAATTACAAGGCTACGGAGTTGGACGTTAGTAACCCAAAAATTGGGTCGGCTGTTCAACGACGGTTATAAAATAAAATAAAATTTACAAAAACGAGACTTTTTGTGATTTTTAAGGAAAATCACAAAAACAGGACCTTTTTTCATCGAGTCTCAAATTATGAATAGATTTTTCACAATTTTATTAAAATCGGTATCCTTCGCAAAAAGTCTCCCAAATTAATACATGAATCAATTTATTTTATTCGACAAGATAACATTCAGCGTTATTTCTTGTTTGCTACACCACAGAAAGAATAATTCTCATTTTGAATTAACAAAATATATTTATTAAATATCAATATTTTTTTGACAACGTAGCTTTAATTTTTGTTTTAATTTGCAATCCCGTGGTTTGCTTGAAGGTCATAAAGCAAAGACCGCCCTGACACCTCAAGTTGTAGTTTGACAACCTCCAATTATTTCGGAATTTATGCAGATCATTCTCATCAACCATTGCTTTTACTTTTGTTTCCCCAAACCCCAGAACTCTCCGCGAACCTTACGTGCGCATACAGAACATAAAAATCAGCCGATTGTCCTAGAAATGTCAACATTCTGATCTTCATTGTTCGGACACTGGTCCATAAATTTTGATTTTGTTCGATCTTTCGCACGGAATATAACGAAAAAAAAATATATCACAACTCGCTCGATCAACAAGGTCATTTTTGCACGAAGGGAAACCAGTCCCGAGTCCCGTTACTTGCGGATTGGTATTTTGCGAATCCTGCTCTCTGTGAAACTCGTTTAATTGTCCTAAATCGGATTTGGAATTTCATGTGCGAGTATTTTATTTTTTAATTTATTATGATGGGTTATTGTGCTGGCGGAATGAGTGAAAGTGAAATTCTTTGCTGGGTTGAGGTTTATAATTAAAGTATTTGTGCCCCTTCATTGAACTTCCCTATGCTTCTTCTAATTCTATTAACAACAGAAGAATTCTATTAAAACGGGTTTGTTCTGATGAAAGTTTTCGGAAAGGATTTGCATATTGTTCATCATTTTATTTTTTTCATTTGTTATTGTTTACATTTTTCCTAACGCTGTATCTATTGCGAATTTCTGGCACAAATATCTTAGAAGGAACAGATATCTTGGAGTTAGCTGAGATTCTTTTTAATGATATTTTATTTTATATTATGAGGGCGGCATGAAATTTCAGTTTTAATGGTACCGGCCATGCTAATATTTTTGCCCGCCACTATTTTCACGAAAAATAATAATAAAATTTTAACATTAAAAATAAAATTTTGACATTAATTTTAAAATTTTAACATTGCAGCTCTAGTGTGACGGAAATAAAGTACCTCCCTACCTTTTTAATGTGAGTTTTACTACAGGGAAACCATATAATTTAAAGCCTAATTCTGAATTATTAGAACACCTAAATGCGTAACAATCTGCCATTATTAATTTAAAGCTATGAAGCAAATAAAGTAAAAATAGGAGAAAATAGAAATAACCGATCGAGCATATTGAAACTTCACCGTCCAAACTATTCACCAAAATGGCGACTGTTTACCTATGTGATCGACGGCAGCCAATCTAAATCGACGTCACAGAGCTCACGGGGAAACGAGTCTCGTTACTTGAGCCTAGGTATCCATGGCTGTAGTTTAAAGAACTTTTGTTAGTGGTCAAAATCGCAAAAAGAATGTAGAAACTGAAGACTGTAGAATAGCGCTAATTGTTATTATCTGGAACAAATATGGGAAACATTGAACACTTTCTATTGTTAAATTTCTCCAGCGTCTGAGTTAATGTTAGTAAAGCAAACTTGAAATTGAATTCTGCTAACGCAATATCCGCTTATCAATTGCAGAGATTTGGTCTTAATTATATGAAAAACACTTGTTGTTTCTAATGCCACTTGCCAATATCAGCAAGCCTGTTAGTGAAATCAAGCGAATCTAAGTGGAGGGTGCGTTTCTTGTTTTTCAGTGGCGCCATCTATTGTTTTAAAAAAAATTATATTTAATCCGAAAAGTTTTTTTTTTTGAAGTTGACGCTTTTGTTACTTTGAATCAGTAACATACATATTTGTTATTTTTAAAAGTATCTTGCAGAAAGATATTAATATTCGAAAGGTATGTCCCAGAAAGCTCGAAAAATTTCCGCCACAGGGTGTTTGTTTAATTAGTTTACTTTACACACAGATACTTTAAAAATTGTTTACTTTCAGTTTCAAAAGCATATCATTATACATTCGTGCCGCTATGCAACCATTACTAGTAAAAATCCTTAATATACTCTATTGAAGAAAGAGATGAAGCGAATCAAAAAACCAACGAAATGGTAAATAAACGAATTTGTGAGTAGGTGAATCAATGTGTAAATAAATAAATAAAAAGTGTGCAAACTACAACAGACAGCGGCCTTTTTTTTATTGTTATTATTAAATAATATAGTTAACTCAGTCTTGACCTAAGCGTTATTGAGCTTTACAATATTTGTTTTAGGATTACATATTTAAGAAACTATTTTATTAAACACCACAACGCGCATTAAAATTTTTTAATTACTTATACTAAAAAGCTCAGAAAAATCTATTTACATTTTTTCGACGAGATATTGTGAATTTTAAGTGATCGAGCTTCTTTTAGCGGAACCCCGATTTTAAAAATAAAGTTAATTAGCAACTATTAATGTACTGATGAAAAAAAGATTACAAATTAATTTAGAAGAAATTTTTTTCATTGCTTTATCAAAAACAGATATATAAAATTTGTTTTTATGCTAGACAGCTAAATTCTCAGGTCTGTAGTTGTTTCTAATTTAGTAGTTTTTATCGTTGAAATTGAATAAAATAAGCTGAATTATGGTTATGGTATGAGACTGGTTATAAGAAGAAAAAAATTCTTTAAAAAAAATTCTTTATTCTCGAATCAGGTTATTTTACTTTGAATTATAAAGTTTGAGAATAAATAATGATGCAATTTATTTGCAAATGCATATTCATTTAATAATTCCTTTTCTTTTTCGTATTTTCCTATCACAATATATTGTTATTAGAAAGTATATATATTTTTTAAATTTTGTTTTTTCTTTCTTCATTGCCATTTTGCTTGAATAATTTTTTTAAAATGAACCGAAATATCAAATAACTGTTAAATTTTTGGAAATATCAAATAAATAAAAATATAGTTTTATGTTACAAAAATTATAACTGGTTAGAAAGAAATTTTAACCCCAGTGACCTTTCCACGTAACCCTAAAGTTCCGCAGAATCCCATTTGGGAACCTTTTTTAGTTCCATGTATTCCATTTTTGTGTGTGGTTTTATCCAGTTTCTTCCGGGTGAAATGCCAACCCAACAATTTGTCTGACCTTTTGTTTATTACAATTTTGTTGTATAACGCAACGGATTTTTAAATCGTATTCTTATGCATTTATGTTTCTATTTCTTAGTGAAGCTTGAAAAATATCTCCTTAAAAACCATTATCTCATTTCACTGCTGTGTTTAAATTCTCATTTGGGAAGTGTTTTAGGTTTTTTACATAATCAGTTACACAATGGAATTGTTGTTTTTCTTTATTGTTAACCATTCATTACCCTTCTTTTTGTGATCTACTTTTTAGTCTATTTTATGAAAGTGTGTGTATACATGTGTATATATTTTTTTTACCTCAAATATTTAAACACATTATTTTTTTTTTTTAATTTCAGTTCAACGTTCTCGAAATCTTCAAAACAAAGGAAGAAAAGGTAAGACCGTTTGTTCTAGATAATTTTGTTTATTAAAATATAACTTTCTTTTTACTTCGTATTGAGTTGCGTTAAAAATAATTCATTATAGATCTTAATTATTGATTTTTATAATTAACTGTTTCATAGGGCTAGTTCATAGATAATTTGGCTTTAAAAAAAAAAAAAACGTGATCGTTTTATTACGATCACTGGTTACCCATTGGTCAAATGCTTTTTTTTTATTTTCTTCTTTGACTCCGCTAAACGCGACAACATTTCAAATCATGGGTTGCAAAACTGTCTCAATTGATGTTTGTCGTCTGATTGGTTTTCATATCCTGGCTATATACGTGTTTCAAGACGTCACAAAATACTTTTCCTTTTTCAGTATTCATATTTATATTAAAATCACCGTCAGGACAGTAATTATAAGTTAATAATAAAAAGAATATAAAAGTACTTTGAATTATTATTATGTAAATACATGAAGAATGGTGAAAAGCTGAATGGTGGAAGCTGGTGAAAACAAAAAGAAAAAAAGAAAATTATCAAACAGCAGCGGTCGCCATAGCAACTCATGCAATGGCGACGCATGCGCGTTGCTTACTATTACTCTTGAACACAGTTGAAAAGTGTGATGACGTCTAAATAAAGTGCGCTCGCCATAAAACCCAAAACAAGAGCCATTTGGCCAATGGGTGAATTCCAATAACGAGTAAACCCATAGTAGCCAATGGGTAAACCCATAGTATTATTAATATTATTACTAAATGTTACTGTTCATATTCATTTTCAGTGATTTAGTTGAGTTGATATTAAAGTATAGTAAATGTGATAAGAATGAATGCATATAAGATTTAAGATTATCCTTTCTGTTAGTCCATTCCGTAAAAAAAAAAAAGAAAGTTAAATTGTAAACAAATTTTTTGTTACTAGTACCTACAATGTAGTATTGATGATTACCTGATTGAATTTACTAGCCCTATCGCGCCAACTGTCAGAAATACGTGCGAGCATGAAGCATAATCATTCAGGGTAAAAATATAAAACTGTTAACCTAACTAATTCTTTAGCAGTTTATTTGAGGGGGGGGATTGTAATAGTTTGATTTATTTCATTCACCGTTACTTAGTTCTAAACAAAAATTACATAGTTAGACTTTGAATTCGAGTTAGTTCCCTTTCTGTGATGTTTTTTAAGTTTCTCGCGGGCCGCTGCCTAGAAGTTGCCAAGACTTAGCGATTATTCTGCCACAGATCGTGATACGGAAATCTCCCGGATCTAAAATACGGAAATCTCCCGGAAATCTTACGAATGCTTCTACGAACTCCCGTCCGGTTGCAATAATTAAATAAGAATAAATGTATAAAAGCTTTAAGATTATCCTTTCTATTATTTCGCTTTGAAAGAATTGCTTTCTTTAAGTGCAAAACGATGTAATGTTTTATTTTATACTAGTCTTTGAACAACCAACCCAATTTAGGATTTACGGCTACTAATGTTCAATAGCCTTGTAATTTTGAACCCAATCCAGAAGAGAAGGGAACTCCTGGATCAAGTATTGGGTGAAATTTGCCTTTTTAGAGAACTTTTTGATTCAGCAAACCCGCATTTCCATTACATCGAGAGGAAAACCTTCCACGGTTAGCCTGACGGCAAGGGGACTCTAACCCATGATTCGCCTACCACTGAGGATGTTTTTACGTGTGCATTGCGGTCTTGCGAGCCGGGTACGGAATCCGAATCAACCAGCTATCGCTGGGATCGAACCCGGGTCACCTCATTGGGAGGCGAGCGCTCTATCCTCTGAGCCACCATGACTCATGATGTAGTGTTAATGATATGGAAATTAATCGCATGAATGATGTTGATAAAATACATCTAAATTAAAAGCAAAGGGTTGAATATGAGCCATGAATTTCATTCTGAGATTTAATTTCTGTTCAATTTAAGAGGAAGAATCAGTTTTAAACGAATGCTTCAAAACGAGATATGAGTTTTTAAGATACTTAACGCTGTATGAATAGTTTCTATATAAGTTATGCTCATTATTATTATTTAATGTTCCGTATTTTAAAGAATTTCGCTTTTTCAGGAACAAATGATGCTTTCGTCCTTATTCAAATGGGTAAAGAAAAATTTCAAACTACGGTTAAAGAGAAAGCTACAGATCCTGAGTGGTATGAAGAATGCGATTTGTAAGTATTAGTCTTAATTGTTATCTTCTATATTCTAATTGTTATATCACTCTAATCGTTTGGATGACAGGAAATTCTAATTACCGATTCTTGCAATCCTCCATCACTGATCGTTGTAGGGCAAAACAGGGAAATTTTGCAACAGTTCAGTGGCCTGTTATAGCATTTTTAACTGTGGCCACTTTTAAAACATGTAGCCCTTTTTTCAGAAATTAAAAATGAATTAGAAGAATTCAGAAATTATTTTTTGTTGAAAGATTTGGCTACGCACCCTGCTAATAGATCAATCAATTGAGCGATTCTCTCGATTTAGAACTTTATTTTTCATTAGGGGACATACAAACATTGCATAGGCATGTTTTTGACAATTTTGAACTTTTCACCACCTCAGGAAAAATGAAATAAATCGCAAAAATCGACCCATGAAAAAATTCCCCATGATTAAGGAAATCCTAACTGAGGTTTTTTTGCTTTTAGTTTGACTTTTACTGTGCTAGTCTAAAGTTATAAGAATAAAACAAAATTTAGGTTTCAATTTCTTTCATAAAGTCTTGAACTGAATATTGTTTAGGAAACTTTTGTGTTCAAAACTCTTGTCCTCTGAAACTCTTCTAAGGAATTTTTTTCTTTCCCCAAATCTGGAGTTTATTCCTGGTTTGAAATTTTTCTTCATGTAATTATGTTTATTTTGTTTTTAAGAAAATTTTGAAAATAAGGGGATTTTTATGTCTTAGTCAATGTTACTCATACCCTTCCTCTTTGTCAGCGAAAATAACAAATAACAAAATGTCTCCCCTTGTTAAGGTCGTACATAGTATTTGAAGGAGCCCTAAGCAATAGCTTTGATAATATAAAGGAAAAAGATTTAAAAATATGAGATTATGCAATATATTTTTATTAATTCCTTCCAATTTTTTTGCATAAAGAACTTTTAATTTTTTTCATTAATGTAAAACATAGCAAGTTTTATCTCCTCATAAATTCATCATTTATTAAATTTTTCGTTATTATAACAAACTTGTACTACTTATTATTTTTTAGCCATGTTTCTGTATAAAGAACTTGTGCTCCTTGCTCCATCTTAAAAAGTAACCTAATTCTGAATAAAGATAAAGGTTATGAGACATACTCAGACATATTTTATTTAACATGACTGCTCACAAATTAATCTTTTTTTAGAACTCTTATTGGTCGAGATTCTGATGTTCATCTGACAGTTTTCCATCGTAATGTTTTGGGATTAGATGAGTTTTTAGGACAAACAAGTGTATCTTTGCAAGGCATTGAAAATTTTGACCGACCTTTCACCAGGTAATTATCTATCAGCTTTAGATCTTAATTTTTTTAAAATCTATTTCCACTTTATTTTTGTGTATTAACTTTATACTTTGATGCATTTATTTGTGTTTTATTGTTTCTTAAGTGTGAAAGAATAAACTTGGGGCGGTATAATAAACTTTACAGGAACACCCACCATACTTGAATTTACTGCAAAAAAGAAAAATTTATTGTATTTAGGTGATTGTTATTGTTGATTAATGTTACATGCCTGTAGTTTACTGTTATTAGACGCAATATAATAAATAGGAAGAAATTAAAACTAGTTGACTCAAATTTTTTTCGTATTGTGTCTGAAAACAAAAGAAAAGTTTCTATTTGCAATGAAAAGTAATCGAATTGTAGATAAGTTATATTGTAAAGCTATTGAAATCCGATAAAATTATTTTATATCAAATATTCTTACAGTATCAACTTAGTTAATTCTTATGAAATTTTGATTGTATGATTTTCTTTTTTTAAAACTAAAATTGTTTCTTTAAATGTTACTACTTTTCTTTATGGTGTAATTGAAGTATTTTGTTAATCCTCTGAAAAACTTTTGTTATCTATCTTTTTTGTAAACAAATATTTGTTATATGTATATATATGCGTGTGTGTGTGTTACTGTGAATGACTGAACGTCAATGGTGAATGTCAACAACCACATAGTCGCTTTGTCGAATGTCCAAATTTTTTAAAATCTGATTTGATATTAATTTATTCATCGATATTATTATATTTATTCGTTATTTTAATATCTGCTGAGGATAGATTAGGAGAAACGTCAGTGTTCGGAGTACCGGTTAATAGCATACTGGGCAATGACTTTTGACCTAGTATGCATTTTGGACACTTACCAAAGCGACTACAATTTGTCTAAGCTAAGAACTCCTCCCGCCACAAAGTCTGAGGCCGTCTGGTGCTATGGAAACAAAATGACGCATTTTAGAGAGGGTAGCTTCACTCTAGGACTAACACAATAGACCGAAGAAAGAGCGACCGAAGATTCCCTTTCTCTCGCCGACACAAGCCAAAATCACCCCAAAACAGTGACCCTGCACCCCTTCTTAAAATAGTCATTCATACCTCGTTACCATAGTCACCGCCACAGGTCCAGATGAATGTCTGGGGGAGTTCTTATTTTAGTCAAACTATATGCGATGTCAACATTCAACAGTAGAAGTCAACAACCACCCAATTTCTGTCATTCACAGTAATATACAAGTATATATATATATATATATATATATAGCTATTTCACTATTTATAATCAAGCCATTCATTTTTTAAGTAATCAAGAAAAATTGTTTGCTATTTTATATTTGTAACCATATTATTTGAGAATTTTGAAGTAAATTATAAGGAAATAGATCTAAAAATAATTTGTCGGATCATTTATTCTTTTGAAATTTTAGATAATCTAATATTGATTAGATAATCTAAGTTTAGATTAATAATGTTTAGATTATCTAAGATTGAAATTAAATTTTTACCACTCCAAGAATAGCTTTCAGGCACCACTTTCACCATTAAAATATCTACCACTCTAAATGTTAATGTTTTAGTAACCACTATAAAAGTTAATGTTTTTTGTAATTAATGTCTAGTGACCACTATATTTAGTGGTTTTCGGGTATTATATGGGAGGAGTGCAAAAAGTAACTGTTGTCTTGTAAACTTTTACTGTTTGTGTACAGTTTTTTACGCCTTTGAAAGAATACAGAGTGCAAAGGGTTAAGTTTCCGAATTGTATTCCTCTTCCTTATTTATATTGTATTTTTTGTTATCAAATGAATATTATTTCAGGTGGTATACTTTAAAGGGGAAAAGCGAAAAAAGTGAAGATAAGAATAGAGGAGAACTTGAAGTACGAATATCTTTTATTGTTAGACGTTGCAATGACACACAGAGCTTAAATGATCTGAGCTTCAAGAAAAAGAAGCATTCCATTAAAAACTTAGCTGTTAGTGTTGGTAAGTTACTTCTGCCATGGATATTTGTAAGAGTTATAATAATCTAATTACATTTACCATTCAACATTGTATTTGTTAAACCATTGTTTGCGTGGTCTTATAAATACACTACAGAGTTCAAAATTGACAGTGGTCCAGGATCACTGATTTACACTTGAGTAACCATAAAATAATTATCAGTGGTCCCCCAGACCAGCAAACAATGTAAAAGGATGGTGTGCTTTTTTTATTTTATTTTAATTATTTTTATTTTCCGTTTCATGTTGGTAGTAGTGTGTCTCGTGTTAGTGTTGGTAAGTTACTTATACCCTGGATATTTGTAAGAGTTATAATAATGTAATAGCATTTACCATTCAACATTGTATTTGTTAAACCATTGTTTGTGTGATTTTATAAATACACTACAGAGTTCAAAATTGACAGTAGTCCAGGATCACTGAATTACGCTTGAGTCACCATAAAATAATTATCAGTGGTCCCCCAAACCAGCAAACAATGTAAAAGCATGGTATGCTTTTTTTTAATTTTATTTTAATTATCTTTATTTTCCGTTTTGTGTTTCGGTCTGTTTTTTTGTCACAAATATCATATTTAATCATAAATGAGACCATTACACATACTTCGTGTTTTATTTAAATTTTATAACCGTCGTTGAACTACCAACCCAATTTTGGGTTTACGACTACTAATGTTCAACTCCGTAGCCTTGTAATTTTGGAAACATTCCGGAAGGCAAGAGAACTCGTGGATCAAGTATTGATCCATGATCTGTCTACCACTTAGGATAATTTACGTCAGTACTGTGGTCAGTCTAAGCTGGGTGTGGAATTCGCATCGACCAGCTGTCGCTGGGATTTGAACCTGGTTCAGCTTATTGGAAGGCGTATGCTCTATCCTCTGAGTATTTTAATTTTTCATTAAATAAAAAAGAAGCTAATAGAGATATGTAAACAAGTCAGTCAACAGACCTATATATAATAAACATGAGCTCACAAAAATTTTGTATCCACCTTGGAAATTTTTTTACTATTATTAAAAAAAGAATTATAAATCTGCTTTTTTTTAAAAAAAAAAGTTGTCTTTTCAGACTTAAACCTCGGAAAAAAAAATTTTTCCCGCAAAAATTATAAAAATTTCTACCAATACAAACGCGATTTAAAATCACATCGTGATTCCTATTTACATGATTTAAGATATCACACTGTGCTTCCTATTTTCTCAATTTTGTATCAAATATCGCTTTTAATTATTCACCCGATTTAAAAGCGACTATTATGATTAATGTTTAAGTGACTTAAAAATTATTCGGACCCTAATTTAGAATCAAACCTTGATTTTCTTATTCTAGGAATTTTAAAATCAAATATCGAGATTCGTTTTCATGTGATTTTAAAATCAAACAAAAATAATTATATTCACGTCATTTAAAAACCACACAGTGAGATTCATATACTCACAGTTTAATTAAATGAATAAAGTTTTGCATTGATATTTGTTGATAATGTTCTCTGGACAAATACTTCCTACACACACAATCTTCTTTCTGAAATTTCTGATATTTTTTCAATTATTTGAAAAGTGTTTTTGCACAAGACATTTTTCGATTAGTATTTTTCAGCTCTTTTGGTTTTTGACTGAACTCATCTCTGTAATATGAATCAATACAGAATTCAAAAAAAGAAACCTAAACGTTTTTGAGAAATTTCAAGATTTTCAAACAAATTTTGCAATGAAAAGGTTGAAACCAGTTACAAGAGTTAATGTGTGCCGAAAGCTTTGTATTTGAGATTTTGTGTTAGAAAGTTTTTCATTTCATCTAAGTCTGCTAGTGAAAATGTGTAAAAACTAATGATTTCTTTTAGTTACTGGCTTTTCAGACCAGCGACTAATTTTTCCTTATTTCTATTCATGCACTTTTTCGAAATATTTAATATTTGTTTTCAAGTTTAGCAATCTAATTCAAAATATAGTTATTTGGGCTGTAAGGGTTGTAAGGCAGTTGAAATAAAATAAAATAAAAATTTTTTTGTTTAAAAAAAAAAACCCAGTTCAGATATCTTCGGATTAAAAATAAATTGGTTACTAAAACTAAAAAAATATCTATATATTTTTTAATCTGATTACTGAAAGAAACATAAACAGATTGAAACAATTGAGAGTCCACTATTAATAAAAATGAGCAAATGGAAATTAATTTTTTTATAAGTCTAATTTGATTTGTACAGTGTTTAGTTTTTAATCTTAAGATTAATTGCAAAATGCATATATCTTGAATAAGTTAAAAAATTCATTAACGTCTCAATAAGTTTTAAAAAAATTTAGCATCACAAATCATTTAATATTTTTATTTTTCATTTCGTCTTATAGTGGTTGCTAAAAATGCTAAAATTAACCAACTGCAGTAGCTAATGCTACTGCAGTTGGTTAATTTTTATGAACTGTGAAAAATATCAATTTAACTCCTTTTATTCTTTGGAATTTAAATAGGAAAAAAATTATGTATTATTACTTGTTTTTTTCAAAAAAAAACCTTGTTTTTTAATTTTTTTAATATGCAAAATTTATTTTATTGACTTCATCAATAATTTTGCAGGTCATAAAATTCAAAAATTGCCTTCAAGGAGTGTCTCATTTAAGACTTTTGATCCAAGAAAGAAATTGGAGAGATTGAAAGAGAAAAGATCATCGGGTTCTTTAAGTAATGAAATTGGAGATGACGAGTTCAATGAAATGTTTAGTCACGTTCCTATGAAACGTCATGGAGCTCTTTATGTAAGTTTAATTAAAAAATAACCTATTTGAACTTTAATAAATAAATACTAATGAGCTCATAAATGTTTTTTTTATTTTTGGAATTAATCTTGTTTAAAAGATTAGTTGATTGTATAATTTGTTAATTGTTAAAAATGTGTTTTTAAAGTTCTTAAATAATTCTTATCTTTTTAGTTATGTATTAATAAAAAAGGATAACATACAGCATAATAATAATGCAAAACTATTAAAAGCATAAAAATAATTCAATACTTAGTTGTACAAATTTAATGCTTTTTTTTTTTTTAAATTATCTGCTTTTGTATTTATCATGTTGCTTTTTGATATTCATTCAAGAAGGGTTTCCTCTAAGTTTTCTTATTTTTTAACACATTTAAAATTGAAAAAATAAATAAATAAAATTTAATCTCACACTAAACTGTTCAGAAGAAAACTATACAGTACTTTCAATTGTATTATTATTTCTTACTTAGAGGATTTGTATTTCATTTGTCCTTTTTAACTAATTTAATATGAAAAAAGGCTTTGATGTCTGTTATAGATTGCAGGCTCATAAGTTAAGAATAAGTTTAGGCTTTATTATAAACTTTTCTTGCATAAAATCTTTCTAATTTAGCGCACCTTATTTTTTTACTCTGTTTTTCTTTTCCCTTTTGCATTTTTTTAAAAAAAAGCATTTTTTTATTTATTTTCCAAAAGTTGAATCACAACTGTTATTTTTTAAAATTTATCTGTGTTATTATATTAATTTCTTAATTATCATTCATGCCTATGCCATTTCATTAAAAGCTATCTTTTATTATTTCTGAGGATAGTTACGCTCATGATAAAATTTGTTACTATCTTTTTTTTTAACACTTTGCGTAGTTAATTATAATATTAATTTCGCAGTAATTACTGAATGTTATTTGTACTATGATATAACATGTAATAGTTAAATAACGTGATTAACTTGATATTAATGAAAATTCTAATGTCAATTTAATAATAGGGGAGAGGGGGGCACATGTGAACAAATTTTTTTATTTCTTCATTTTTCGAAAAATATCATCAATTTTTCATAGTAAAAAAGTCCATATGTTTAAATAGTATTTTCTTTGTCTTGTGGAATTTTTTGAGATTTTTCAATAAAATATTTCTTTATTTTATAATATTTTAGAAAAATGACTTCAATTGTTCACATGTGCCCCTATTGGGGGCACATGTGAACAGGCCTGGGGCACATATGAACAAGATTAAAAACACAAAGCAATCATCATATTTCAAAGAAAAAAAATCTTTAATATAACAGATATAGATACGCATTATACTGAGGGGGTTGTAGCTTACTATGTGAATTTAAATTGTACAACAGTACTGTCAATAAGAAAATAATTTTTCAGCTGTACAATAATTTATCCGTAATTGGGTTTTTCGCAACTTCATGTTCCACGGGTGTTGTAATGGGCCTTTTTCTTTCTTCTCTAATACTCTTTCATGCTTTTTTTTTATTTTTTCTATCTTTTCATTTGTAGCTTTAACAATTCTATTTTCTCAGGTGTATCAGTTAATATGCGTGATGCGCGATCAACCATTTAATAAAAAAAAATTTTTTTAAAGGAAAAATTAATAAATTAATTATGGAAAATTAAATAATGATAATTTTAAATGCATACATATTTTTTAAACTTATAATATCATGAGGATAATAATCTTAATACTATGTAGGGGCACTTGTGAACTGTTCACATCTGCCCCAGATGTTTTGTTCACAAGTGCCCCCATCATCCTTCTTAAACCTAACTTGAAAAATAAAGAACTTTTAATTGAGTAAAAAAAAAGAATAATTGTCATAAACTTACCTGAATGTTCATATAATGATCTGCAATAGTTAATTTTAGTTTATTAGTTGATTTATATTATGCTTTCACTTGGAGAAGCGAGCGATTATAATATATGCAACACCAGCTGATACAAAGAAATTGTCAGAATAGACCAACAAAATGTCTCATTGCTCTGAAAGTTTTTCAGAGAGGTAGGACTAGTACTGCCATCAATTGAAAATTTTTCGAGATTTTTTATTTCAAATCATATTGGTAAAACATACCATGTTCACATGTGCCCCCTGTTCACATGTGCCCCCCTCTCCCCTATAGATTGTTTTAGGAGTAAAAGAAATCATTTCTTATAGGCTAAAATATTTAATTTATATTTAACAAGATTCCTTAAAAAAGTATACAATTTTATTTTTTCTCCTTTTCTCAATTTATTTATAATATTATATTACTGAATATCAGTTGATAAAAAAATCTGTCATTTATGCCTTTTAATTCAAAATTGATGAAGCCTATTTATGATATTTTTGTTGCAAATCATTAACCATTATTAGGTTAGTTCAGGATTATTTTTAAATTAAATAAAATAAAAAATAAATTTGTGTGAGCATTTAAAGTTTACATTTATAACATTTTAAAGTTTTTATTATTAATCATACCTTACTTAATTTTTTTGCATCATATTTTGTTATCATTAATTCAAGATACTTTTTGTTTATTTTTCTTTACTCTCTTCTGTTTTTGTGTCTTTATCATACCTGTCAAATCTCCTTTTTTTTAACGAGGGCTCCTGTATTTTACAACTCTCTCCTATTTACCTGTGCATTCTCCAATTTCTCCATATTTTCTGAAGAAATTAAAAAAAAAAAAAAATTGGCAACAAAATATCCAGTGATGACAAAAATACTTCTTTTGTTCATCAACAGATGGTGCTATTGCCAGTATTGCAGTATGTTGAGTGTTAATACTCTAAGTAATGGTTTAAAAAAATCTTCTTTTGATTAAGATTTATATGCATTTTTTTTACTTTGTTAAATGTATGTGCTTATATTATTTCCAATTTTGAATATCTTTTTTTGACTTACATGTTTATGCATGATGTATCAAAACTACTCGTAGCCTGAAAATGTCGCTAGTAAAATCTCTGTTATTTTATCTCTCTAATGTTAGCAGGTATGCTTTATGAGTCTGTTAATATTGGTTCATTTACTAGGTTAATACTGAAATTTTTACTTTGAGCTTAGCACAAGATTACATTTAATTTGTTACATTACTTTGTGCCACTATACATTATTACATTAATTTGTGCCATAAAACCACAACCCATCCTCTTTCTAACAGTGAATATAAAAATTAAGTTAATTATTTTTAGTAATTTTTATTCTCTTATCTAGAGTAGCACATTATCCTTGCCCCAATCAGCCATGATAACCAGTTCCATACAAGAAGCTGAAAGCTTAGATGAAATACCACAAGAGGAAGAAGCAGCAGAAATGTCTGATAGCTCCAATTCAGTGGAAAGTCAAAGCTCTAATGTAAGTATTGATGTTACGGAAACAACAAAAGGATGCATTAATTCTAATATTTTGTCTATAATTTCATATTTATTATGTCATATTTTTCTACAAATTTGTTTGATGATTGATTATACAGGAATCCCATGGGTTTGAAAAATGTTCAGTACATTCTCGGAAATAAGACTCTCACTTTTTTGGCGATTCAACAATCCTCGAACCTATTTTGTTAATTTTGAGTCTCATTTTGCCTGATTTGTAAAAAAATGCGAACTCTGAAATGTATGACGAAAATGATTCCTCAACTTGAAGCCTCATCGTAATGCATTGTGGGATATTGTTTTCTAGAATGACAAAATTAAAATAAAAACTAGACAATCGAAAGTAAAGTGATGAATTTAGCCGTCCAGCCTGTATGATGTGGTCAAGGAGTTAGTCTCATTCCTGAAAGATCCAGGGTTCGATTCCCGCTTTGGGCATGGATGTTATTTGTCTCTTTATTACATTTTGCCACCTATATGGTGCCAAAGTTAAAATGATTTATAGAAAATTTTAACACATTGGGCCCTATGAGTTTTTCTTTGGAAAAAAATAGAATGATGAAATATTTCTTCAGTTTTGACAAAATTCTAAAAGTGACAATAGTTATTCATAGATAGTGAATGATGATAGTTATTTTGCCTTTTTGACAAAATTTGTGCCCATAGCATATGCCAGGAAACAGTTTCATCAAAAACGAAGAAAGTTTTTTGATATTTGAGTATTTATTTTTATTACTGTTGGGAAGTAAATTTACATTAAAGCCTGTAGCAATTTTTTTATTATAAAACCTGACTTTAAAGTTGAGAGATCTTGCTGGATAAAATTATCAAAGAAATGTGTTTTTTTTAAAAAGTAATATGCAATGGTGGCTGCAAGTATATAAAGATATTGATGATAGTTTCATTTTTTGTTACAAATTTTCAAACTTTTTAAGGTTGGTGGATATCCTATAACAAGATCATTTTAAAAATAAACCTGTAATAAAAATTGCAAAAACTTGTAGGAAATAAAATTTTAAATGTCCATTTTACAAGAATATTCCATTAAATTTTAATTTTAATCTTAAGTTTTTTTTTCTGTTGTGATTTTATTTGCAACTAAACTAAAACTGTTTTTTGTTTGAAGGCTCGTGAATAATCTTCTATTTATTTATTTATTTATTTATTTAAATTTTCAGTTACTGCATTTCTTTGTGATTTCCTGTTTTTGAAAAAACATAAATAAATTACTTTTTATTAGAAAATGATATTTATTTTTTTATTGTGCAATTTTAAATTAATATATTCTATTTTATTACTGAAGTTCAAAAGTTAATTTTTCTTTTTATTGCTAATTGAAAGTTTTCATTAAGAAAATAGTAGTAACTATTTCTTAATAAAGTAAAAATTATCTAAACCATAAATTTATGAATTTTTTTCAAGAGTTTAAAAAAATACATTATTAATTTCTCGTTAGTAAAATTTTATGTTGATTTTTTAAAATGTTACTCAGTTCATTTCGAACATTGGCATTGTATTAATTTATTAATTGAGCATTTTAACTAGCATTTAATCTGTTTAATTTGTTTTTAATTTATTTATTTATTATAGATGTTTGATATTGAATATCTAAACATGGAGGCACTTAATGGCTGTGCTAACTTTTGAGTTAGCAGTATATCATATTCAATAGGTTTTTTTTATCTTTAAAAAATTCCAATATTTTTTTAAAATTCATTTTAAAAGAATTCATAATTTTTTTTAAAAATTAATAACTCACTCTTACATTAAACGTCATTACTTGTCTTTGCTTTAGGCCACAGAGTTATTTGTTTATTGCTAAGAGAAATATTTAATTTTTCTATTCTCTGACTTGTTTTAAATGTATTGCTACTTATCATTTACTTTAAATTTAGATTTTAATGTGGAGTTACATTTATTAATCAAGTATACCTGCATTAAATGTATTTATATTAATCAAATATATTTTGATATTTATTTATTTATTTTTTGTTTAAATATTTGATTTTAAGTAAGATTGTATACATTTTCAGACTTCTAAACAGTCTTTACAGAAAAACATTTCCTTTCCTGCCACAGAAACAAAGCTATTAAACCATGGAGAATGGACAAATCGCATTTTATCGCATGCTAAAGGTGTGAAAATTTTAAACTTATATAATTTTTGCTAATGTTGTTAGTAATGTTGTTTCTTTGCTTGGACGGGTACTCATCTACTCAGACTAAATTGCTCTGGACTGTCCTAACAGTCTTTAAAAAACTCTATGTAAAGTGCATAACAAAAGTGGGAAATTTTTTGATTTTGTGAAAGTATAAAAAAAACAAGAATCTGAGTGAGATTGAGATCGGAACAAAACCTATAGTACGTAGCGTTTTTAAAAAGTGCTTAATTTTCCCTTTACGAAAATGAGTTTTTTTCTCCTTAATATGTCAATTTTTGTCGCGTATTATACAAAAGTGTAGTTTTCACGTAGTTCTATTCAATGTTTTCACAATTCCTTCAAACACAATGCATTTCGGCATACTGTCGGGCCGTAGCGTATGAAACCACCATTAACTTTACATGTTTGATGAAATACTTGCAGGTCCGCATGTGCGTATACTGAACTGTTTTCGGTGAGATTCTTGTACTCTCGTATGCAACTTGCTGGATTTTGCCTGATATTTTCAATTTCTGGCTTTATTTTCCACTCTCTGAAATGAAACCAAAAATTCTTTCTATGGTGGCTAATATAATCAAGAAGAGTTCTTTGTCAGAAACTAGTTATTTTATCGTAATCATGTAAAGACTTTGAAATTTTTTTATTTTTAATGACGGGCACTTGAGGTTTGTCCCATTGGCCACTGAAATGCCAGAACTGCTACTCTCTTCTCGTTAGCCAGTGGACACCTGTGGCGAAGCCACTGCGGTGGAGCAGCGTCGCCCACGTCACACAACCACAAACCCGCTTATAGGGCGGGTCACATTCATACACAAAAGAGAAAGGACATAGAACACAGAGAAAGAAACATCCAGAACTGAGAAGGATTCTGAAGGAAACTGAGCAGGATTCGAACCCGCGGCCAATGGCTCCTCAGTCAGACACGCTAACTACTCGGCCACCTGGTCGGCAAGTCTTTGAAAATGATTTTGCATTTTGTTAATCTATGTAGTGCTTAAAAATATTTTTTATTGCTTAAAATGTACTTAAGAGGTCTTATTTTTTGTTGAAATGTTTGGCTATTAATTTTTAATTGTGTTAGCTTGTTCTTTTCGTAATTGCAGTTAACCGAAATTTCTTTTCTTTTTTAGACTCTCTAATGGCTAGATCTGAAACAAATCTCATTGAAGCTTTAAAATCAGATTCGCCTTCAGCACCTACTAGACGGAGCAAGTTCGAAACATTGCGGAATAGTAAGTGAAAATCTTACATTTAAAATTATTTACAACTTCTAATAAAATGCTATTAATATCCATTGACTAAACTTAATATGCAGTCGTGCTTAGAGATGAGACTGGCTTAGCTCAACCCTGGGTCTGATTTGGGCTCGGGCTCCATTACTGACAAAAAAGGTTTTAGTCATGCTCGGACTCATGATAAAATTAAGATTGGTATTTAATCCGTGGCAGAATCGCAGAAAGATTTTTTTTTTGAAAAGCAAAAAAAATTTCTTTTCTACAGAAATTTACACGTAATATTTGAATCATGCTTTTAGATAATCACTTTTTGACTTGATCAATTTACACCGATAGTATCGTAAATCAATGTAATATTTTGATTGTATTTTCGGCAGTTAATGATATTGATTTTCATGTGAGTTTTAAACATCCCGATATATTTCAAACAATATGGAAAATTCGAATAGTGAATTTGAGTATTTACTTTTTAAGGCAATAATTATTTCGAATATCGGCAGTTATTGCTATTGGTATTTCTCCATAGTTTTTAAATCTGATATTATTTATTATAGCCATTTAATCCCAAAGTGAAACACTCTTTTTAAGAGATTCGCGTGTTTTACTACTACAGATTTCATGATTTTTAATTATTTTTTTGATGATTATTTACAAATTTATTCATTTTTGATTTTTATGATGATTATTTACAAAATGCGAAAAAGAAAATAATTTCTGCTTCCTCCCCCCCCCAACAAAGTGGGAAAATATCACCTATAACATTAGAATAAAAAATTTATAGTTTTTATTTTTTATTGTTTTTTGTAAACACAGCGCTTTTGTTATTTTAAATTAGTAACATATATGTTTGTTGTCATTAAAAGTATCTTGCAGAAAGATATTAGTGCTAGAGAGTTTCGTTGCAGATAGCTCGAAAAAATTCTGCCACAGGAGTATTTAAATTGGTAAATTCTGGCTATTTGTTTAAAAACTTCTGGGTGGTGTTTTCTTTTTTGATCACTTCAATTATTCTATGTTTGGTTCCCATCGCTTAGTTTTTTTTATATCCAAATATTTTGATGGGTAAAGAATTATCATCCTTTGGCTTTCAAAAATTTCTAATGTCTTCAAGACTCTAATCACAAATGTTAAAATAATAAGTAAAATTTAAAGAGCCCACTCTCTAAAGATGAAAATTATAATTTTTGAATCAAATGTGACCATTATATGTTTTTCTTTGAATAACAGTGTTACATAAAAAATGTTACAATGATCTTTGTTAACATACATAGACAGTGAAGTGAGTTCTGGAATATAAAAAAGTTTTGCGATGGTTTTATTACTTTATGTTCACTGAATGGTATATAAACGAACACCGTGACCATGGAATATTTTCTCTCTCTTTTAGCAACAATATCTGAAAATCATATTTTATTTCCATGTACAGTGCACCAAGAAAAAATGCAACACCTTAAATAATTTTTGATCTAAGGATCGGTTTCACTTTCTGGGACTCAATTTTAAAGCTTAAAAGGATTGACTTTAAGTATGATAATTAATAAGTACAGATGATATTTCAAGTTATGAAATCAGACGCAAAAACGTACTTTTTCTGAATAAACATACCATTTTCTTAAGGATTCTGATTTTTGACCCCTAGGTGGTAGCTGCAATCTGGAAAATATGGGCCCAATAGTTTGGTCAGGAAAGAACTCCAAAGTATGGACCCTGTAATGTTAATTTAACTTTTTGGGTATTTCGCTATATCTCGAGAAATTTTTAAGCAAATTAAAATATTTTTGCATGCAATTGTAAAATTTGTTTCTCCAACGATAATTCCATGCAAAAAATAACTAATGTTAAATATATATTATTTATTATTTTATTCATTAATAGTCGCAAATCTTTTGAATTGTCATCATCATCATAGTTGGCCAGACAGCCCAATGTGAGCCAATGCCTTCCTCTAAAGATTTCTCCATGACGACTTCTGATTTATCTTTGATCTCCAATTCTTTTCATTAATTGCGAGAAAATGAGGCTCCACTGAGTCTGACTCCACTTTTGAATTGTAAGGTATAGAATTATTTGCATTATTTGTAATTTTACTTGGCAAAATACAAAATCGGTGAGATGGTTCCAGAAAAATCCAATTTTAAAATTACGCATTTAGTTCAGAGTGAGTTTATATTCAGATTATTCAAAGTCTGTTTATTCAGAGAAAGAACGCTGTTGTGTCTGATTTCGTAGCTTAAAATATCGTCTGCACTAATTAATTAGCATATTTCAGGTCACCCCCTCCAGCCATTAAGATTGAGTCCTAAGTTGTGAAAATTTATTCAGGGTGGTCCCTTTTTTTGCGTGCTGTACATTGTGGAAAACTTTAATGCACTGCTACACTATCACATTGTACTCAAAATTAAAAAGTAATTTGCAATCTAATATTAATTTGTTTCTTTAATGTTTCAGATCTCAGAAGGCACACCTTACAACTCTCTGAATCTCCAGATTTATCAGTTTTAGCTCTGGCAAACAGCAAAAAGAAAAACGCACTAGAGTCTTTGAAACAAGACTTACCAAAGAACAACCAAGCTTCTACTCCAGAAGGTATTCCACCAGAAATAATTCAGCAATATGAGAAAATGAATCATAAGGTATAACTTTTGGTTAGATCACTAATAATGCAAACCAACAAATTTACTTCACTTTTATTTTTTGTTTATGTATGTTAGCAAAAACAGCACTACATCAGGGGACACACTGTCTGCTAACATACTGGAGTCTTTCTGTAGTCAGTGGTAAAACCCAAAACTGACTGTGCCCCGATGTCCCATAATCAATAAACTAAATAAGAAAATGCAATAAAAAAATCTAATATTGAAACAAAAGATTAAAATTCACTAATAGACAAAAAAAAACGCAAGCCAAAAGTACACTGAGAAAATACTAATAAGGCCACCTCTACATATAAAAAATATAAATAAAGATAAAGTTACAGTTACAAACCCTGATGAAGTGAGGTTTTAGCTAACGTACATATCTTTAAAATTTCGTTTTGCTTGTTTTTGGTTTTAGTTTTTATTTAAATTGTCTATATAAGACAAATTTGGTTTTAGCCCTTTTCTATTTTGACTTATTAAAGTAATTTTCTTATAATTTGCTTAGATCAATTTCATACTTTGATTGAATTTTAAAAAAATGTTTTATTGAATGCATATTGTCTCTTTTTTTTTAAAAAATAAGATTTCAATATTGTTTTAGTTATTGTTTATTTTTAAAAGTGTTGTTTTTGATTTTCCAGATTGAAAAGAATTAAAGCAGAACATGTAAATTGTAATACTGTTATTAGAATTTTACTATTTTTAAATTTGACATGGAGAACTCATTCTTGAATTAGGTGTATGCCTGGGTTTATTTAAATGGTTAAACCTAAATTGTTTTATCACGAATTCATAGATGTGTCTTCTTTAAATAAATTTGTTTGCAATGAAACAATGGTTTTATAGATTGGAAGATTTATTTTCCATTTATTGTTTAAAAGCATGTTTAAATGTATGTTTTAAACAATTTAGCTTTCCACTTGAAATTTCGAAAAAATTGAAATTTATTGTAAACTTATTCAGATGGTAGATTAAGGTTTGTAAAGTTGAGAAAATGCTTTCTTTAAAGCCTTTAGTGCATTATGGGAGATAACAATAAAACATTTTTTCCCTATACATAAAGTGTTTCATTTAAAATCTAATCAGATATATTTTATAGACCATTCAAATTAAGCCTGATATATTTCTTAGAGAAGGCATCATTTGCGTCAAATTTTAAGATGTTAAAATTCAATTAATAATAATATAATTTCTATATTCTTTTTAATATAATTTCTATATAAAAGACTTAAAGTGTCCAGTGAAAAATTAACTTATAGTTAATATTTTTATCAAAGGTATAATTTTGTAATAATTTTCGTGAAAATATATTTTATGTTAACTATGAAATAAAGATAAGCAGCTCTAAATTTAAAGTTATCCATGAGATTGGTTGTATCAATTATAAGATAATTTACGCGACTCCTAAGATATTATTACGTTTTTCAGGAATTAGTGTATTTAGCGATCAAACAACAAGGGGATTTAGAGAGACAAAGGGATAAAATAGCAGACTTGGAAAATTATTTAGACAATTTATTGGTTCGTGTGATGGAAACAACACCTAGAATTCTTCAAAAACCAATTTTGAATGCATCGTGTCATAGGTAATCACTTCTCTGCATTTTTTTTAAAAATATTATATTTTTAATTATTGATAACATGTCTTAATTCTTCATGACATACAAAATAAAATTTTATTACCAAAACATATAATGTTAATGCATGAAATTATATATGCACATTTATTTCTACTCTATTTACTTTATAGTTTCATTTTTAAATGTGTTTAAGATCATCTAGATAATGTGAATAAAAAAATTAATGTAATGTAGTATAAGAGGAAACATATATATACAGTGAAACCTGTGTATAACAATACTGTCTATAACGATAAACCTGTCTATAGCGATATTTCCTTGAGGTCCCGGTGAAATTCCTATTTACTCAATGTATTTTTAACTTGTTTATAGCGATAACCACTTTTCAGTTAAACATGTCTACAACGATAATTTTCCCTCTTTTGATAGTTGATAGTTCCATTCCGATTTTTCTACCGTTGGAAAACGACTCCCCATCGAGCTTAAATGTGAGATAACAAAATGTTTTTTTTTTTTTCATCTCCTTTGTATGTAATATTCTTTCGTTGTTTCTGAGAAAAAATGCCACTTTTAGGGAAAATTAGAGCAGTAGAAATGGGTGAGGGGTATTGTAGTAGGGAGAGAGCTTCGTCAGAAATGCTGATGAAACTGGCTTATTTTATCAGCTCATGCCAGATAAAACAATGGCATTTAAGGGAGAAAATTGTAAAGGCGGTAAAAAATCAAAATGGAGGTTAACTGTTCTACTTTGTGCAAACAGTACTGGAACCGATAAACTGAAGCCGTTCGTTATAGGCAAATACGCTAAACCTAGATGTTTTAAGAATGTGAAAAGTTTACCAGTTGACTACAAGGCAAACAAAAGAGCCTGGATGACAGAAGAAATATTTAACAACTGGCTGCTTGATGTGGATAAGGAGATGAAAAGAAAGAAGAAAAAAATAGCTCTCTTAGTTGACAACTGCACTCCTCACAACAATCCTCCAAGTTTGAAAAATATAAAATTGTTTTATTTTCCCCCAAATTGCACGTCGATTCTACAGCCATTAGATTTGGGAATAATAAAATGTTTCAAAGGATACTATCGAAAAAGATTAGTTCAGAACGTTGTTTATAATCTGGATAATAAACTCCCAAATCCTTATGCAGTTGATGTAAAAAATGCATGTGATTGGATTTCCGGAGGGTGGAATTCATTGACA